GGACGCATGGATAGTGAGTTTGCTGCGTCCTTTCAGATTTCAATGCGTCAGGGACGCAGGACGCGTACCTTGCAACATCACTGAATAAATATAACCAAATCATCATATCAGCTGAAATACATAAAAAAATATGGCGGCACGGTGGTGCAAGAAGCAAGAAGGTTCCGGGTTCGAGTCCTGGCTTGGTCTTTCTGTGTGGAGTTTGCATGTTCTCCCCGTGCCTGTGTGGGTTCTCTCCGGGTACTCCGGCTTCCTCCAAAGACATGCAAATGGGGACTAGGCTGATTGAATACTCTAAATTGACCATAGGTGTGACTGTGAGAGTGAATGGTTGTCTGTCTCTGTGTGTTTGCCCTGCGATGGACTGGCGACCTGTCCAGGGTGTGACCCGCCTCTCGCCCGAAAGGATGCTGGGATAGGCTCCAGCCCCCCCGCGACCCTACTAGAGGATAAGCGGTAGAAAATGAATGAATGAATGACATAAAAAAATATATTCTGTACTTGTGTAACTGTGTGCAGTTACATTAATAAAATGTGGATGTGATGTGCATATGGTTATGGTATGATCACAACTAGTAATTCAGTGATTGACCTCATGTATTTTACTAATTACTCAATTCACTAAGTGTGACGCATATACAGGTGTGTTCACACCCTTACATTTACCTAAGGAAGACTATTAGTTAAAAATGTGTGACTGCACAAATGCATTTGTCTTTTTGTGCATGATTAAAAAAAAACATGTTGAATGTTGGGAGGACATGGGACATAGACCGCGACCTCCTCCTCCAGAAGAGTTTTTGAGCATCTATGTCAACTTTAATCTCAGATAGCAGAGTGCTGGGGACACCTGTCCTGCCCTCTTTAAGTTGAGGCTATCTCAGCCTTGCATTCACTGTGGAATTTCCCACTTTCTCTCTTCTGCTATAACCTGACTAGGCCCTCCCCACACATACTCATCCAACCTCATTCCCTCTCTAGAACAGAAAAACCTCCTGTTATTACAACTTGGGAGAGTTTATGTTTTTTTATCATGAGAAACACATTAAGTGAACAAAAGTAATTAACAGTCCAATCTGGGAATGGTAATTATTTCAAGATGGTGAGCTCCACTGCTAGCCCTGCGTTCATACCAGCTAAATAGACTTGTTACAATACAGGCCACACATTTTCCAACTTCTGGTTGTTCCTTACCCTCTTGACCTGTGATCTGTCTGTGATCCACAACCCTGACCTGACCTGGCTTGACCTTGACCTGATCCTAGTCTCTGTCCTGCCCTCCTGCCAGTGCCTTCTTAGATGTGTTGGCCTTTATTGATCTAAATAAGCTGATACAGATGTTGTGGTTTATCTGCTTCCCTTATATGTTTCTATCTGTGCTTTATATACAGTACATGTATGTATTGAGGTCAGCTAGCCAGGTCAATACAGTCACACTCATTATATAATACTACCCTTTCCGTCAGAGGGAGAGTGACAGAGGCTACTGGCATAGCATTGTTTTGTACATGTGTCTGAGGGACTGCGGCTGTTGTCACCACATGTTCCATCAATACCAATTTAGAACTGCATTGATTGGTCATCTAACCTCCCATCATCCAGTCCACCATGTTCTCAGCTAGTGAAGAGCTGTTAAATGCAGCCTCCTGACACAGTAGAAACACCAACACCACATCTTGGTATCATTATTTAATGTGTCTAAACAAGTCATTTTTCATTGGTGGAGATCTTGCTTTGGCGAGGCTGAGAAGTGAAATCATTAGTTTTTCTTATTCCTTAAATAAAGTGTATTTCTAAAAACTGCACAAACCTCATATGCTCATTTCCAGCGCTTTGTTTTCAGCATCATCTGCAAAGATGTGTGTATGTGTGGGAAATGTGCAAAATAAAGACTAAAGTTCAAAATGTCAGGAAATTACTTGAAAAATGTTATTCTCCTGTGGCCAGTGGACTGTATAATAAACAAGCACAGTCGGTTATTTGTCTACATTTATTTGAATTTGTGTTTGCACTGAAAAACAAGACTAAACAGGCTAAAACTAATCACTGTCTTCCAAGCCTCTGCTCTAACAAGCTTGGTTTGAGGCTAGTAGGTGGGATTTATGCAAATGTATTATGTAGTGCCGTAGATAAGTTACAAAGCCTGGAGCACAAACAAGGCATTTTGGGCATTTTGAACCAAGTGCAGTTCAAGTCTCGAGTCTAAAATTGTAATCTGACCGAAAAAACTGTAACACTGAAATAAAATTTGCATAAAAATGATAATAGATGTAATTATTCCCCTACCTTTAGGTTGAGTCGTGGGTCTTCAATCAGCGCTCTAAGGTCACTGATTTGGGGAATCCGGACTGTCTTGATGGCTGCATGGCGCTTTGCTCTGCAGGCATCAGTAGCCAGTGACACATTGAGTGGCCCACATCTCCTCACACACTCCCCTTCATCAGCCAGCACCAGGTTCTGCTCCTCCGAGCTCAGAGGAGCCTGACATACAGGAAAGGAGCACAGGGACCGACCTAAAGACGGACACATAGAATATAACAAACTGTAACACAACCACAATGCATTGCAATAACAGCTACATACATAAAATATTACTGTAGTATCAATAGTTTGTGAATGAAAGAAGGAGAAGCGATGGCCCTTACTAGCTCCTCGTCTGAACAGCTTGTCAGTGGAGTGGTTGACCGGACGGGGTCGTATGTAGCTCTCCAGACTGCTGAGGTGACAGTGATACAGGGACCTCAGCAGGTCTCTGGCTGCTCCGAGCATCACCCTCCTCTCAGCCAGGTTCCGACTCTGTGCAAGCCGGGGAAGCAACGCCAACTGGACGTGGTACAGAGGCTCAAACAGGTAGAAGACCTGGGATAGGAAAATGTCAACATAAGATAATATATGACAGTTACACTGCACCTCCACACATACTATGTAAGAATTTTCTACATGCTGTCAATAAAACTTTGGTGCCTCTTTGGATACAACAACTATCATATGGCGGGTGTTGCCACAGGTCTTACTGATCAGTCATCAGTCATTCAGTGCCTCATGGGTTGATGAGCCCAATGAACAGGCAGTGCCATCCCGGCTCTGTCTATTTGCTGGGAGTGCTCCCTTAATGCTGATTTTGTAAGACTTGAAAGATGGAAGAAGTCTATACTTAAAAACATCAATACTGATGTTATTTGTTCATAACCAACCTGTGATGTAGCTACCTGTGTTTTGCTGGATGACAAATATTGTAAAAAAAACAACAAAAAAAAAACAAACAAATATATTGTTTCTGTAAGAAAGCTGAATCGCCTTTTCCACCAACTGGTCTCTCCCTCCACCACAATTCCTCTGCTCTGCGTATACGGTTGTTATAGCTATTCCAGCTATCCATAAGTTGAGTCAAGAACATTCACTTTTCATGTGAAGATATTACTCTGACTTTCTATTCACAAATTTTACTCTGAGCAGCCTAATACATACGAGCCCTGGAGGTCTTTCATATGTCCTCTGTCTACCTGGTTTGATACAGAGGCCTCACTGGTCAACTGCTACACAGATGTTATATCTCTCTACAGAAACGTGCTGGAACCTTCTTGGAATATTTCAGATTAGATTGGCAGACAGATATTAAAACTCCCCCACTACTGAGGCAACAAAAACTACATCAGCTGACCTCCTGGTGGCTCTACAACAACAACTTCAATATTTTTACCAATAACCTGGAAAAAAAAGTTTTTAAATTTCATACATGAATAATCTGGACCTGCAAAAAGGTAACTACATTCTATTTTGATATTCCATTCCATTTTGCTCTTATAGATTTTAGAATTGTTGTTTGAATTTTAGAATTGTTTACTTATACTTATGGACATTTTACGTGGACACTTGTGAATCAAAGTTGGTTCAAGCTACTTTGGTGCATCAGCTTCCAGCTCTGAGCTTCAAAATAATTATATCTCATATTTGACTGCTAATTTTTGTTTTTGTAAAATTAAGATGAAATGATCTGCGATCATGTCTTAGACAGCAGTTAAAATTTGATTTTCATTCAGGATTTATGAGCTTGTATTCATCTTAGATCTTAGAGATTTAAATCTTTTTGCAGCACATCCTGCAATGTGTGAAGAAACGTTGCTTCACTGCAATCTATGTTCATTACATAATTAAGTTTGTCACTCTATATTTCTCAAACTTTATGTAATTAATGAACTTCGAAAACTTGGAAAGGACTCAAAAGCTCAGAGAACTGAGTCACAGTTTGTGAAGATTCTGAAGATGTAATACGCATTATCATTTATTTCAGGGTTTTATCTGTAAATTTGAGACTTTGGCGAATATTTGAACATTTTTAAACTTTCCACTGCATTCATTCTCATAGACATTACATCACTATTATTATCTATTAATTTACAAAGTCCTACTTCAGAAATGATCAATTTATTTATCATCACTCCGCCTGTGTCCAAGACATTCTATTTTTAAAAGACGTTCTCAGGAAAATAAATAAATACCAGTCTTGGTAGGACATCACTTCAGATATTAGCCCCATCTGTCTGGAATCATACAGAGCAGACTAAAACTGGACACGCTGATACTTAGGTCAACGTATGGTTACAAGTCTGACTGACTTGGGCTGTAACTGTTCTTTTTTTAACTACAGAATGCACTTATGAGCATATCATTTGTCATCTTATCGTCTACCTGCTTGTGTATTTGAATGCATATTTAATTCAAATATACACTCTGATCATTGTTTATATAAATACATATTTGAATGTATGTTTAAATCACTGAAATTTTGTACCTCTGCAGTTAATATTTCTTTTTGTTACTTATTTTATTTGTACTCAGGTCTCACTTATAAATGAGATCTTGATCTCAATGTGACTTCCTGGTTAAATTAAGTATAAATAAACAAATAGACCTCCATGTATTTATAATTCAGCCTGTGAAAACAAAAGACGCCCAGTTAAGAAGACACCCTGGAGGTGACTACTGACTGTAGTTGAATGTCATCTCTCTCTTCTCTGACTTCCTGTTGTTTCTGTACTGTTGACTCGGGAGTAAGGCAGGAGAACCTCACCCTTTTCCACACTCACAATGACAGACTTCACCAGCACAATAGAGCATAATGAGTAGGTTTTACAGGTAATTAGTAAGTACTGCATCAAAGTTAATGAGTATCAATAAGCTCATTGTATGTAGACCTCAGTCAGTTGTGACTGCAAGGTCACTGCTTCAGGTTCCTCTCCACTTGCTGTGTGAATGCTCTTCACACACATGTTGTCAATTGTGCTTTATAAGTTGTTTAATGCATATAAGTCAAAACAATGCTGTGACCTGCTAGCAGCTATATTTCTTTTTCTCTCTAAAGAACATAATCAAATGAAGTGATTAGGTCCTGAAGGCAGCTCTTGCATTAATACAGTATGTCTTTTAATTGGGTTCAGATTTACTTGGTGCATATTCCTAAATACATTTTTGTTTAACCAAACTACATCCCAACAGTTGGTCCAGAGAGCCCCACAGTTCCCACAGATCATGCACATGGCCACTTTTAGCTTGATTTTGGCTCTGACAAGCATCTAAACAGACCTTTCTCAGTGGACCACATTTACCCAAAATAAAGTTTTAGACACGTCACAAAGATGATCACAAGAAACAGGATGAAAGTCAAAGCCATGGTTCTTATACACTAATGTTTACTTAAGATGTCATCAGCAAGCATCAGCAATGATATGAAAGAGGTCACAGTATCCATATTACATTCTAACCTCTGGATGCTGGTTGAACAGCTGGCCCACAAAGGAAGATCCACTCCGGGTGGTGGCCAGAATGAGGATGTGTGTCCTCTTGCTGGCATTGTAGGATGGGAGGGAGAAGGAGTAGGAGGACGGGGTGTGGGAGGAGACCTCATCACATCCTCGGTCTGAGCCCTCGGGTGTCTCCTGTCCCAAACGTGTCAGATCTTTGAGACTGCAGTTGACAGCGTGACCCGTGGGTGCCAGGCCCACAGAGCACAGCAGGCTAAAGGGCTTGGTGGAAAAAGTGCGGATGGCCGTATACTGGATGGCAATGGAGGCTAAAGCTAGCAGCACCATGGATTTCCAGGAACACTGCATGGTGGCTGAACAGCTGGATCAGGGATCCACAGCACTGTCTGTCAGACAATGGGACAAAGACAGAAAGTTATAATCTGTAACTTTCCACATTAAAATCTCTAACAACAGCTAGACCGTTCTATATGTTGTTGAGCTGTGTTCTTACATTATCACTAGGGGTGGGCGATATGACGATATTAGATCGTGAAGGATTACAACGTGAAGACGATCTTTCAAACTGCAGAGATCGTGGGATCGTCTAGGGCACATTCTATGAATTGCAGTTCTATGCTGATGCACCGACGCACCAAACGTATTGACGTCGTCAACCTGACCGACCAATCATAGCGAATTACGGGCAGTGACGCACTTTCCTACCCGCCTCCTTGTTTGTGTGTGTAGCGGTAGCACATGGAGAGCGATGGCTGAAAGCCAAACGGAGTCGGTCGCTAAAAAAAATCCCACCTCCATTATATGGAATTGGTTTGGATTTTCCGCAACTGATCAAGCGCAAGCAAATGTAATTTGCAAAGTTTGCACAGAAACCGTTTGCACGTCGGGTGGTAACACGACGAACCAGAATGTTGTTGTTGTTTACCTTAAACTTTACGTTGTTTGCACATGCAGGCAAAACTGCGACTATTTGAAATAAAATCTGTTAAGAAAGGTTCTTTGGTCTAAATTGTCTGTTTTTCTTTTTTCAATTTAAGATCGTGATAAAATTGAAATTGTGATTTTATTTTTAAAAAATCGTGATATGATATTTTTGCCATATCGCCCACCCCTAATTATCAAAAATGTTTCCATCAATTCTCAAACCAGAGAAATCTGTGATTTTAATCATGGTAATGCTCTGTTTCATTTGATCACCCATCAGTGGCATCATATCCCCTTCTTTGATGTATTTGTCAGCCAGAAGCAGCAGAATTGAGTTTTTATCCAGTTTTTTATGATACACATTTTGGATACTAAAATCCTTCAACTGGTTTAAATATATAGTTAAAAAAAACTATATATTTAAACCAGTTGAAAGATTTTAGTCATTGGACATCTAGATCTTAAGTTATCAGAGAAAAAAGTTGAGCAAACAGCAGTTCGGCTCCCAGCCGTCCAAGCTATCGTCTTTTTGCTGAACATTGTGGGAGAAACACTGATTTTTAAAGTGAAACTGTTTTATTCAATGTTCCACTGGTTATAATCAGCTTGTCTGTTTGTTTTGGAGAGGATGAGACCTCTGTGGATAATTCAGCTCCGATAAAAACTTTCTGAACCACTGACACTGAAGGAATCCAAACCAAAAAATGCTAATTGCAATCACATCAAGGGTGCTCTGAGAGCATACATTTCTGGGCCTGATCTGGGCCAACTATGGCGCATACAACTCAGTTGTGGCCATAGCAAAGGTCGTATGGCCAGTTTTAGGATACTACCTACTTTAGGTTATACTACTTCACAACGTCACTAAAATCCATCTTGTGTTATTGTTTTGTTCACATCTCTTTGTGGGAGCAGAAAGTCACTGTTGACCACTGCTAATAACTATACAATAGCAAATTAGTCAACATTTACATTCACTTGGATGAAATATGATGCAGATGTAGTTTATCTGTTACAAAAACACAGTTTGAGTATCTAAGACATAGTGATCCACTACTAGCACTCTTAAAGCCTACCCTAACCCTTGTTAACATCCATATGATTTTTTTTATAATATGAGACATATGATGAGTGAAATAATCAGTCAACACCATGACTGAGTATTTCCACTTTGAACTACAGTGAACCAATGACAGCCTCATAAAAACAGATTCAGATAGCCAGGGTTTCATACGTCACAAACCTAAGGAGCCAATCCTGTCAACCTGTGGGGACGGGGGTGGGGCTAAATAAACCTGAAACCTTGTCAGTACAGAGAGAGATAGTTAGCATTAGCACAACCACTAACACTGTGTCAGCCACTGCCAGTTACAAGCTAACAAACAACATAAACATATAAAAGATGCTAACTACATTAACCGTTCTGATCCGTCTGCTAGTCTCTGATTCTTGCCTCAACAGACTACTCATCTGAGTCTGGGTCTGACTGAGGTTCAAACGTGGCTGAGTCTCTCTGATGTATCCTCCTCTAACCATCTTGATACTTTCTACTCTTCACCTGTCAACCTGGAGCAAGAAGGTGGTAGGCAGGGTTCAAGAGCTGATAGAGATTTCTCAAACAGGAATTAAGAGTAGATGAGCTTCAGACCCAATTTTTATGTGTGAAAACCATGGACACTTTTTGATTTTTTGGACACTTTTTAATCATCATTATTTTCACCATCATTAACAGGTGTAGTGTTGTAAGACTGTAATTTCTTTTACACTTATAACCTCAGTATTTCTAAAATCCTGGTAACAAAAGCTGTGTACATCCTATGGGCACTACATTTTACTGGGACCTTCATGAGATAAATAAAATTGTCTGAATCTCAACCAGAATCTGAAACTGTAGGCAAGTAAAATAACTGCTTCAAGTTTCCATTTATAGTTTGTGAAATAACTGGTCCTCCCCTGACCCACACCAACACCCCCCCCCACCGCACCCCACCCCACCCCTTCTGAAATGAAGCCCTGTCTATGTCACTTGCCATATGGCATATTAATCAAAGGGATGGAAATAAATGATCTATCTATCTGTCTGTCCGTTTGTCCGTCTGTCTGTCTAATACATATTAGCACAACAGTGCTGGCGCTAACCCGGTCTATCATGTCACTGCTCTGTTAGCTGTACCTTTATCTTTCCTCTCACTGACGCTGATCTCTCTTCTCCAGCTTGATTTAATTTCCTCCAGCTTGCTTTCATCCCCTCCAAACCTCACACCCGCTCTCCAGACACCGCAGACACAAAACGCTTCTCCTGACGGTTTGCGTCGTTACCTCTCCTGTGTGTTTTGGCCGTCAACAGAGGGCGGCGGGCCGGCTGAGGCGGAGACATGATGCCGCTGCTGTCTGCCTCCACGGCGACGGCGAACACCAACCTGCGCCTGTCTGTGGTCCACACTGGGAGGAGGAGGAGGACGACATGACGCTGCGGAGGGGAGACAATGCTGATCTAGATAGAACCTCCACGAGTAAAAGTGATGGCAGTCACATCCACATCAACAGGCTGCTGGACCAGTACATGACATGAGAACGGTTAAGGTCTCTTTAACACTATCGATCTCTACCACGCTCCCCCTCTCTCTTTCCCCCTCTCCTGCCCCCACCCCCACTCCCCTCCATCTCTATGGTTCACATTTTTTCATTTGTTGCTTATGTTACCAAAACGTATATTGATTGTTACAGCAGTGGGAACAAACTGCTTTACTTCATGTCTTTGTGTCTCTTCACCCCAAGACATCGCTCTGGCTCCTTTTTGTTCTCTTTCTTCATATACCAAAACTAAGCTGCTATACTACACTGGGTTGCATAGTGTTGGTTTGTAAATGTTTGTCAGGGATGATGTATACATGTAACCTATGCAGCTGTTTTACACTCCTTCCCAATAACTTTTGTGTTATACCTGACATTGAGTTTTGTATGGAAGCCAATAAAGGCCATACTCACAAATATTCCTCTGCTATTTTAAGGACCATTGTCAAGAGAGTAACATGTGCCAACATACAGGGAGCACATACACTCTGCCTGTAACACACAAGCAGAGTGAGCTGAAGATGTGCTTAGATGTTGGTCAGGAGAACATTATAATACAGCTTCAAAAGGTCGGAGCTTCTCTCTGACGTGTTGCATAACATTGTCACATGTCCTGGATGTCTCCTGCATGAGACTATGCAGAGAAGCTTCTTTCTTACTACCTAGTGAACCCTCCAGTGCTCCCTAGCCATCATCTAAATTTGTCCACCACAGTTTTATAACAAACTAAAGATTTATTCACACTTCTCACCATAAAACATTAAATATTTTTAACTCTGTGATTTGTGTTGTGACTTCACTGTATATTGAGCAGTGCGTTTCACTTCTTTACCCCTCAGAATGCACAGAGCTGCTGCCTGTGTTGAGCTGGGTTCACTGGTCAGGGCTGGACTCAGCAGTCAGGACTGGACTCAGCGGTCAGGACAGGACTGGACTCACTTGTCAGGACTGGGCTCACTGGTCAGGACTGGATTCACTGGTCAGGACTGGGCTCACTGCTCAGGACAGGGCTCTCTGGTCAGGACTGGAATCACTGTTCAGGACTGGGTTCACTGGTCAGGACAGGGCTCTCTGGTCAGAACTGGACTCTTGATAAGGACTGGACTCACTGGTCAAGAAAGGGCTCTCTGGTCAGGACTGGACTCTTGGTCAGGACTTGACTCACTGTGCAGGCCTGGGCTCAGTGGTCAGGACTGGACTTACTTGTCAGGACTAGAATAACTGGTCAGGACTAGGCTCACTTTTCAGGACTGGACTCTTGGTCCGGACTGGGCTCACTGGCCAGGACTGGGCTCACTGGCCAGGACTGGACTCACTGGCCCACCTTTTTGAGAGCAAGAAAGACAAATGAATCTCCAGGATTGCTAATACTTTCTAGCCAGGCACTCAGAACATGTGCATCTTGCTTGGTCAATTCATCACTATTAGCTCCCAACTCCTCCAACTTAACATTTAACCAGTATTTTTCAGCCATTTATGTAATTCAGCTTTCAATTTACATATTTTACTTATTTTTTTAATTCTGTACTTTTTTTCCATTTTGCTTCAACAATTAGGGCCTTTTTCAACAATTTCTTGCCATTCAACATACAGCTTACAGTTTCTGCTTTTAATATTCAGCTATTACATGAGCTACTTCAGCATTGCTTCAGCAATTTTCTGAAGTTATCCAGTGTATTTCACCTTTCAGCTAGTAAGTTTTTCTTCTGCAGGACAGCTATCTATTCAGCCATGAACAGCATTAGTTCAGTTCAGTTCGTTTCTTCCAATTTAATACATTTCAATTTGTTCCTGAAGTGAAGATTTCAGGATTTTCAGGTTCTTCACGTACTGACTTCAGCTTTTCCAAC